AGAGTTTAATGAAGACAACAGACTTAGATATTCAGAGTACATGCAACAAGGTATTTTCCATGCAAGCATTGTGGTGGGACAGCTTACACAACTGGAGTATGGTGCGACAGACAAGCCCTGCAGGAGAGACAGGCAGGGAAGAGAAGGAAGGCGGCTGCCCTTCATGTGAAGGAACAGCTCACATGTGTGGGACTCGGGTCTGGGTGACAGCTTGTGGGTCAGGACCAGAGGAGAGGTTGCTGTGTCACACTGTGGTGGGATGTGTTACAGACCACTGACCAGAGTAAGGAACTAGATGGAGCTTTCTCAGAACAACCTGAGGAAGGCTCTGTGTCACAGACCCCCATCCTCATTCAGTAATTTAATGCATTGGGACGCCAGCCATCCAAGCGATTCCTGGCGGTTCTCAAGAATAACTTCTTGTTACACAGGTACTGGATGGGTCAAGCAGGGCCAATGGACAGTGGGTGATGCTGTACTGACCATGAAACAGTAGAGTCAAGTTCCTGAGAGAGTTGAGGGAGGAGGCCAGTAGCAGAGCACAGAGCCCATGCTTCAGCTGAGAAGACTTTGGGTCATCCAGGCAACTGGCAGCTGGGATACTATGGGAGTCAGCTCTGAAGAAAAAGCATTCCAATAAGGTTGGTTGGCCTTTGAGAAGAGCATCCTCAAGCACAAGAATGGCTCACCTCTACATGCAGAAAACCAAGTAAGCATATCAGGAAACCAGCCTGGCAAAACAGGAAACCCATGACAGAACTCCAACACAGGAAAAAAAAAAAAATCAGCATACAGAGAATGGAAGCAGAGATGGTCAACAAAGGGAGACTCGAGAAATACTGCCCAGGCATGTAAGGGCTGTATCAAGTGAAGCCAAAGCTCAGCTGGAGATAAAACATACCAGGAACATCAAGAGCAACAAGAAGAGTTTCTACTATTACATCAGTAGTAAAAAACTAAACAGAGAAAATATGTAACCGCTGCTGAATGGAGCGGATGTCTTAGTCACAGAAAAGGCTGAGGTACTCAGTGCATGAATTCAAAAAGTATGTGCATAAATTTCATTTCAGTAAACCCATATAAAAAGCAATTAAAGCAGAACTTTTCCCAAATAGAATGAGGCAAGTTCATTAAAATTGATACTCACAAATGCATCCTTGAAAACAGGTTATATAAAGATTTGCCAGCAGACCTTCCTATTCTGTAATCATGCAAATAATGAGTCATTCTTTCAAACCCTTCATGGTAATAATAATAATTACCGTTATTATCTAGTTGTACCTAGAAACAGGAGCTGTATCTAGGATCACAATATGTTAAGTAGTACACAAATACAGAAAAGACCCCAAAGAGCCTGTACTATAGTCATTCTCTACATTCCTTCTACTGCCTACAGTGAAGATGAGACCATTAGAGTATGTGTCATCACTCAAATGTCAGCATTACTAAAGAAAAGTAGGGGGGAGAAAGTACTGGCAGCCTTTTACTACCCTCCTTAGGTAAAAGCTCAGAATTATGTATCATGAGGTAGACTAATACACTTTACAGGAGAAGAATCTGCTGGAAAGGTGGGCACTTGTCCCCTCTGTGTCAGACTGCTCACCATCTATCTCCAAAAACAACACATCTCCACCAAAACTTTTCAGAGGTGCTACATTTCAACTCAAGGTTCTCCTGAGGGCAGCTGCTCTTCATCAGGGGGCAAGCTTTCTCTTTCAGAGGAGTGCCCAGGATCTTGCTCCATAACCTGTGACCCTCAAGATTTCCAAACTAGGCATTTCCTCTTACCTGCCAAGGTCCAGGTGCCTACACCCTTGAACAATTCACAAAATACAACCAGGAACAACAGCTGTAAACCAGTGGAAGGTGTATGTTTCTGTTTTACTCATTGACTTACCTGAAAAGACTTGCTTAAAATTCCCTCTCTATAACCAAAGTTGCCTGCTTCCTCAGAAGCAAAGCTTGTCTATGATGCCACTGAGTGGACAAACACAAGGTCCAAAATCATCTGCTTTTTCTAAAGCTGTGGTTTCTAAGGATGCAAGTACCCTTTTGCTCTCTGGGTAAAACGCTGAAGAGTGGTCTACCTTTACAGGTTCCTCATATTCCAATCATCCCAAGTTAGAAAAGGTCTCCAAAGCAGCTTGCATGAACCTCATAATATTCTTGAGGGTATCGACCTCCAAAATAGGGGGTAAAATTAGCTCTTTAGCATTGAATTAAGTAAAATGCATAGCTACTTCTTTATTCCTTTTTTTTTTTTTTTTTTAATTATGTGAGAGTTTGACCTGAAGAAGATTATGATGACCCAACTGGCAATGAAATTCACAATCAGCACTTTAAATTGAAAGTTCTCTTCTGTTTAGGGCAATGCTGCCGCATTTTTCCTCTTGATCTCACAAGACACCTAGATCTTGTAGGTAAATTTAGGTCAAATAGAAAAAAAAATAAAATTAAAGGGACACCTATTTTCCTTGAGATACTGTGTAGTGGGAACGTGTCCCAGTGACTCCAAAGCAAACAGATGGTCTCAGAAGTCTAAGCCTTTAAGTTAGAAATCTCTGGTAAATATGCATAGGGTCACAGAGATAATTTTTCTGTGGCTTGGGAAACTGAAGGGCATCCCAGTTTGCAGAACGCCATAAAAAAATGTGATACTCTTACATATTCATGCACTCTCCTAGTGTCTAGGCCTGACACTTGCAGGAAAAATACTGCCTTTCTAAGACAGCTTACATATGGAAGTTAAAAACTATGAGAAGAACATCTAGGCAAAGGACCTCAGTAGGGAATTCCAAACATTTTGCATTCCTCTGGGGTTCCTTATCTTTGAGACAAACTTTGTCTTTTGATGTACCACTTGAGCAATCCCTCTGCTTTTTGAGATTTACCTTGAAAAACGACAGAAAAGTTAATAGCTTTCATCTGAAACTGCTCTTTGTAAAAGCCCTGCCATTGTAAAAGAGGCCAAAATCACTCTCCAGGGCTACTAGTAGACCAACTTGAATTTTCACAATGAGGTTTACTGGCAGCCTCAGTTTTGGTTCTGGTCATAAAATCTCTGCAAGGGAAAAATACTACACAACTTTTTTTTTTCAGTTTTCCCTTCAAAGTGATAAGGATATCCAACTCTCAGCACCAAGTGTTGAGAGCAGCGATCTCAGAAGATTTCTCTCCTACATCATAAATCAGGAAGCCATGCTTGAATGTTTTCTTGTAATAGTTGAAATATTTTGTACTACCAAGTAGCAGCTACCAGCTCAAACACTGCAGATAACGGGAGCACTACTCCAAACATTGGTTATAGAGAAGCTGCTGTTCCACTGCACAATAGCAGCCTTTTGCAGCAGTGCCCCATACTTCTGTAGAGTGGGCTATACTGCAGCACTGAGCAAGTCCACCTACCCAAAGTCTTTGAGTCTCAGGAGATCCCTCTCTGTCAAACAAGGAAAAAGATAAGCTCTAAAAGACACATCAGGTAAAAAAACAAAAACAAAGACAACAACAACAAAAAAAACCAAAACAAAAACAAAACAAAACAAACAAAAAAAAAACCACCAACACTTTCTAATGATTTCTGTGGTGTCTTTCCCATAGAGCCATATGTTCCAATTCTACCTGTTTTCTTCCGATTAAGTGGGTTAGAGGAACATAAATATATGGCCCAACATACTGTTGCCATAGAATATCACATGGCAGAAACTGTGTTGAAGAAAAGTTGAATTACTCAGAACACTTATATGAAGCAACTTGGATTTTACAGCTGGAGATACTCTATCCTTGAGAAAAATGTATTATGCTTGTATGAAGCCATGTATTTTCCACTTCTCAGGAACACTGCCGTAAAAAAAATTACTGCCCATAGTTTACTATGCCAAAGCAAGTAACAATCATAACTACCCACAGTGTTTTGAAGCCACCAGGTGCCCTGTGCTGCTCTTGGAGTGAGAAGAAAGTCTAAAATAACAAGTTTTATTCTTCTTGGATTTATTTCTCTTCCCATGCTGCCCAGGCTTCCAAGACCTTCTAATTTCCTCTCCAATACGATTCAACCATTCCTTCTGTCTTACCCACCTAGATCAGTGCCACATCCTCTGAGTTTAATAGCTTCATCAACACAGAGTAGACATGAAGTCTATTTATTGTACCTGTACCATCTTCAAAACACAGTTTGGGCATGCAGAAGAACAGAAATATTTAATCTGCAGGTTCAACAATCCACAAATTTGAAAACCTGAATGCACATCAAGGTCTGGTCTTCGGGTCCTCCCTGTGCCTCTACATGGTGACAGTCAGTAGCTAGTAGCAAGCCCTCACAACATAAGCGTTCAGTTAGGAGACACGTGGCCCTCTGAGAAATGTGGCAAACCCCTAGGGCGGCCAGGGCACGAGGGGGAATGGGTCTGCTGGACAGCGGCCACAACCTGACACAGCAGCCTGAAACATACGTGTTTCAAGATGACACCTTCGCATGGCGCAGAGCTTATTCCGCTCTTGGCCGAGTACATTTACAAACACGCAAAAATCAAGATTTTTAATCGCTCAGCTCGCAACAAGCAGGACTATCTTCTCAGCACTGACATCTAGCCAAAAGAAACCATCACCTAGCAGGCAGTCATCCCTGCCTCCTAGGCACCTCTGTCACCACAGCCCACTCCTGGGGCCTGACAGACCCTAGAAAAGTTTCCCGGTATTTATTTGCCGTACATCGCATTACGTGCATCGCCTCGCCTTAGCATCGCCTTGCCTTAGCATCGCCTTACGCGTAAGAAATTGTAAGCCGACAAGAGCCAAGGCACCCAGCCAGCGCTCTCATCGCGATCACGCTCGGCGGCCGGCGCTGAGGCACTCCGTACGGATCCCGGGGCGGACCTGGAAAGCTACCGGTGAGCGGCCGCTCCTCCG